GCACACATCATTACATTCAGATCCAGTCGGGTTCAAAAATAAATGCAGTCAGGTCAGACTTGGGTCTATTTTTATTGGCCTGTTTGGTAAGTTTTTTTTCTTAAAAAAAAAAAGAATTCATGCACATCAGGCTTTGATAAAAAATGATTCAGGTAATGTACTGTTTTTAAAGACCTCAAGTTTTGACCTTATTCTTTCAAGTACAAGCCCATGGAACTTAATTGGCTTGAGATTGCGGTCTCATTCACTTTCATAGATTTTAAGCTGTACTGGCAATTTTTTATTATGATTTTTACTTATTGTCATAAACACAATTGTTTTAATGCAAGTAGTTTGACAATTTATTGCTGTTTGTTAGTCGTAACACCCACTGTAGAAATTGCACAGCATTTCTTCCACATTAAGGGCTGAAACTTTTAATTGAATTATTTGATTGAATTGATTACTAAAAATAATCGATTCAAATTGTAGTAATTGACGTTTGGTATAATAAAACATCCATATAAAGCATCAATTCCTGGACCGGTAAACAGAAGAGCGGTTGTTTGATGGCGAAAAGCCATGGTATCAACACACCAAGAAGAAAAGTGACAGAGTGAAGGAAAAAAGTAAGATAGCCAGAGTAAAAGCAGAAATAACTTAAATGATAAAAAACTGCTAATAAGTAATAAAAAAATTAATTGGTGTGTCTATTTTGTGTGTAACACATTAAATGTTGCATTTTAAAATACAGACTTATTTTAACATTCGAACAGCATACAGAACATCTGCAGTATTTCCAACATCATAGAAAATAGAAAAACTAAATAACAAGAATAAAATAAATAGGCCTGTCCTAAATATGTTTGTCCTTCTTAAGAACCTGCATTGGCTGTTTTTTCCAATCATATGACTTTTTCTTCTGATAAATAAAAATAGGAGGCAAATACCTCAAAACTAACCATATAATTTTATTAGCTCACATTGCTAGTTTTGTGGTGAACAAATTATCTGTGCATGCCATTAAGAAAAAAAATGGTTTGACATTGTAATCTTTAATTGAAATCTGAAAATGCTCTTCCTGTTTTTTTGTCAGTTAAATTGTCAGAATACGTATATCTTAATCATGCTGCTTGTGCATGTTTGTTGAGTAGAAAAACAAGTCACACCCACTGTTGTCTCATTTAATATTCTGTTTCTTTATAAACTGAATCCCAATACACCCCCCCCCCAACCCCCCCCCCCACCCAAAAAAAAGCTCAGTTTCTAGTTCATGGGAACATTAGGTACCTTGATTGCTTCACGGAAAATATACATTTAACTATTGACCCGCTGTAACTCTTATACCACAAATCTCTGTCAATGTTTTTAATTGAAATCATTATTTTAAAGATTATGTCATAAGCATTTGATTATTACCTTAGAGCTTGTGTGCTTTCATTTTCTGCATTTCCCTCACAGCGAGGTGAGGGTGTATTTTGAATTAGTTCAATGACAATGAACTAATGTTTTTTTCAATGGCGAATGTTTTTTTTTCTTGTCATCAATCTAAGTTTTAGGAACAACAAATAATCACCCCTCATTTGGTATCTGAAGTGGCTTATATGAAAGGCAAAGGCCTCTAGATAAGAGCTGTAATCGGGCCATAAAAGTTAGGCCCGATAGAGTCCGAGTCTGACAGAATTCGGCCCGAGCCCGATAAACACATTTTGATTGACAGCTTTTTAAATCGCGAACCCGTTCATAGCCCGACATTATTCAAATGTGCACAGGCACACAGCTCTTTTGCCTTTTTTCAAGTATGATGAGCCGTTTATACGTGTTTTAACAATTTATTCATGACAAATGTAGGCTATAGGCCACTTAGAAGTTGGAACAAAGAAATAAAATAAGTCCTCTGTAACATCTCAGCTCTAACTACATTTTTAAATTGGCCAACACACCAATAAAAAGAAGTCTCCCTAACAAATTAAATTAAAATAAATTATAAATAACGAAATTAAGATAAAGGCTCTGTGGGATTTGTTTCGCCACTTCTCTTCACAATCTGGCATTAAGGCGATGATGAAGCTAAATATTAAAAGATTAATGCTAACATTAGCCTATAAACATTATCTACATTGTCTACATAATGATTTTATGATTTATTTAATATTTTGTTATAATTTGAAAATAGTTTACTCATCAAGATTAGGCTATGTGTTTTTGTGGAGGAACATTACTGAATCCACTGTGAATGTCTGTAGCGCAGTTCTGACCCGACCCCGTCTAAAATGATAGAAATTAAGCCTGGGGTCCCATCGGGTTCGGGCAAAGATCTTCAGCTCTACTCAGATTACACTTAATTTACCAAAAAAATATGATCATGCCTTGATTTTTAATTATTAAATTAGGACAGTAAGGTCTGACTTTGCTTTGACAAACGCCTTGTCACTTAACAGAAATAATGTAAATTTAAAATTTAATGTAAATTTACAATTTAAAGTCATGAAGCAGATGAAAAAAGAGTTAATATTGTGTATGACTCCAATAAGCTTGAACGACTGCATTTATACATCTCTGCAATGACTCAAATAGTGACTCGTAGGCGGGGGTGGGGGTGGTTGTTAAATATCAATTAATTCATACCGAATTAATTAATTGTAGACCACCGTTTTCACTACCTGACCCACATGGTCTTTGCTTTACCCATAACCAAACCATAGATAAATAGTTACAAACAAATAACCACCTGTCAATCACTTTTTTTTCTGCGGGACTCTGGCATGAGTAGGCACAGTAATCTGTGTTGTTCTAATGGCTTTTTCCACATCTGGTGGAGGAGACGAGAGTTCGGTTGGAGTTTACTGTAGTGCAGTTTCAATGCAAAATCCTCACTGTGTGCGCGGATTTAGGAGACATTTACGCAGAATGCATCTTTGCACCTAAATACGCCAAACGCAGCACTCAAGAACAGATAAACATTTGTTATGTGAACTTGCTGAAGTAAAAAACCCGCAATGCTTTCCCTGCCTTTATGCTCTTCTTATTGGCCCACTGCTCTAACTGAACGCGAATGATTGGTTAATATCAGCAGTCAATCATTCAGTCAATGCCTTCTGCCTTCAGATGACAGGAGCTACGAGCGCGAAAATGTGAAGCGCTGAAGATGAGAGAATGGAAATAACACTGACAGATTTACCTACAGTTACTAATAATGGCACATCTTATTAGTGATCATGTGTTGAATGTTAATCCACCATTTACACTTTTTCAAGAGTGAATAAAAGACTTCCAGTGGCTTTAAGTCCGCTATGAAAATGACTAAAGCCATTCACTGTAAAGTCTGTGAAACGGGGTTTGCAGGTAACAGTGTTTGCCACTGAATCTACACATTTTAAGCATGAGAGGTTCTGTATAATCCTTCATTTAATCCTCACGATGCTGTCAGCCATGCTAGTGGCAGCTATATGTAACATTAACACAGCTCATGAAAAGACCATTATTGCTATTAAGATGACATGCAAATAATAAGTTATATTTCAATATAAATGTGGGGCAGGGCGATGGATCAGCATCGTGTAGTTTGTCGGCCATTGGCGATGGACGATGGCATCGTCTATCGGCACAACTCTACTCCTGTGGTTTGTAATGAAATGGGCACACAAATGTCTTGATACCTTAAACTGTTGATGTTGCCATCCACTCTGCAGATCTCTTACATGCCCCTATAATGAATGTAACCACAAACCATGATTTTTCCTTTACCAAACTTGACTGAATTCTATGAGAATCTTGGGCCCTTGGGGGTTCCAGTAGCTCTTCTGCAGTATTTGTGATGATTGGGATGCAGTTCAACAGATGATTCATAGGAAAAATCGACCTTCTGCCACTTGTCCAAATGATTAACTAGAAGTCAACTGAGAACGACGGCAAGATTTTTGTCAGGTAGTGTATAGTAGCTATTTCATTCATTTACATACAGGTTTTATAGTTTATATAGCCTAGCTACTGTATAAAATGAAAGCTTCCGTTTGGTGTGGAGTTTGTTTGATTCGTAGATTATGTAGAGAACTAATAATAACTGATTTTCCAAACAGAAAAAAAAGGTTGGTTTGTTGGTTGCACGCTAACTCATCAAAACTATATCTGTTGAGTTTATCATTGAGCGGTGCTGCACATACTGTAGTTTGTCTAATATACATGGCTGAAAAAGTATACTTTCCGCTTTCCGTGTAAAAAATTAACAGTAAACTGGTATTTTTTAGGCATCCATTGTACTGTATTTTTGAGGAATTTTCTCAAATCTTTTGATGCCTGTATTACAGACCTGTACATTACAGACCTGTACATACTCTTATTATTAAAACAAAATATAGAATATACTTTTGAATCTATCTTATCTAATCTAATTATACTAGTGCTTGCATGGATCATTACACTGTAGAATTAAACAATAATGAAAATCCAAAATGAATAAAAACATTGAAACATGAACACAAGAATATTAAGATAATTGTTTCTTATGTTAATGAGGTTTAAAGTTGTAAAAGGTAGGCTTATGTTGTGTATGTAAGAGAGAAAGAAGGGTAGAAATCCTTATTGAGAGTGTGTGAGTGCATAAAATATACATACACCATATATTGCTATTTATTACATTTATAAACATGCTTTTGTATACCTTTATTTTACCAGCCAAGCAACTGCTATTGAGATGAATGTGAATGTTACTGTATGGCCACTTCCAATGAGGACAGAGACAGTCTCATCTTTCTTTGGTAAACAAAGCCTATATTCACTGACTTAGACAGGATACGCATCTCTCGTCGGCCTCTAAAATCTAAAAATGCAACATCAGGACAGCCAGGGGAATAGAGGCAGCCAAAAATACAGCCTACACAAGCAGACAGAGATAAATGTATAGATACAAGCAGGCAGAAGAATCAAGCATTAATCTAACGTATATACGAGAGAGAAGAAGAGAGACAAAACAATACAGTATGCACACATGCAAACACACACACACACACACATACACTGACCTGAGGCCGTAGAGGACAGTCCCATCAGGATGCAGACGGATCATGCGGTTCTTCACTGTTACCCCGTGAACAAAAGATTTCTTATCATTTATGAAGTAAGTATCAGGCACCCAGAGCTGATCCGCCACTCGGTTATCCAAAGTAAGATTAAGAGGAATCCCTGTGTAGGACAGACGCTTGTCTCGCCAGGACTGCTGGAAATACATGGTAATGGTGTAGTCCTGAAAACACACAAACACAAACACACAAAAGAAAAAAAATTAATGTATGAGAAAGTATTTGAGCTCTTCAGCTGCACTTAAAGGATTAGTTCACCCAAAAATAAAAATTCTGTGATTAATTAATCGCCCTAATTTGATTTCAATCTCTAGAGACCTTTGTTCATCTTTGGGACATCAATTAAAATATTTGAGATGAAATCAGACAGCTCTCTGACCCTCCAATAGAAGTGGGAGAAAAGAAGTCAATTCATCTATGTATGCAAATCTTTCTCTAGCTACTGTGAATCAATTCTCAAAAGTTCTGAATTGATTCCATATTCAAATCATGACAGTGCGGGCATTCGTGGGTGTGAGCTTGAACATACTTACATCATACATGCGCTGTCTAATTCATTTCAATTACATTCAGAGCTTATTCATGCTGAATATACAGTGAAAATGAAAATGAAAACATCCACTAAATTAAATTACTGTAAAAATGCATCAGATAAATATTTCCTTTAAAGTTTTTTGCTCAGTTCTGATCAAAACTGCTAAACTGCTTAAAAAATTACAGGATTTGAAATTTTTAATTACCAAATTCATAAATGACATCACTGATTTGGTGAAAAAAAAAACACACAAAATGGCGTGTTTTCAATATAAAAAGTAATTGTGAGCTGGATTTGTTTTACCTTTTCTCAAAATCTTGGACACATGAAACAACATTGCCTTTGATACATTGTTTTAGATTTTTTGTCCCTATTTTAATGTTGGTTTTCCCCACTGACTTCCATTATAACCACATTTTTTGACTGCAAAACCATGACACCATATAATCATGCACTTGGTTCATGGTTTTCCCTGTTGGGAAGATGTAAAATATGTAATTTTTTACTCTTGATCATCAGTTGGCACCATTAACCCTTTAGAGCATGTGCAAAAAAGATTTTATATGGTGTGTAACAGCAAGTTAAATTGTTTGTACGTGTGTCTGAGTGTGAGAGTGTCCTTTGCGCAGTTACCTTGATGTGTCTTAAAAAATCTAAATATGCATCTCAGCTCTCAGAACTACACGGAGTAAACAAAAACAAAGACTGTGTGTTTATGCTCCATCAAATGTGGTTATAATGGAAGTCAATGGGGCAAAAAAAGCCTCCAACAGTAAATTAGGGAGAAAAAAATTACAATTCAACAATGCATCATAGTCAGTGTTGCTACTAATCATTCACATGTCCAAGACAAATAAAAGGTAAAAAATATCCAGTCCACAATTACTTTTTAAATAAAAAATTTTGTGTGTTTTTTTTTTCACAAAATCAGTGACATAATTTGTGAACTTGGCAATTAAAGGGTTAAAATCCTGTAGTTTTCTAAGCTATTTGATCAGGACTGAGGTCGCTTAACAGATTTATGCCCAAAAAAAAAAAAAAAAAAAAAAAAAAAAAAAAATATATATATATATATATATATATATATACATACATACAGTTAAAGTCAGAATTATTAGCCCCCCTGTTTATTTTTCCCCCACTTTCTGTTTAACGGAGAGCAGATTTTTTCAACACATTTCTAAACATAATAGTTTTAATAACTCATTTCTAAAAACTGATTTATTTTATCTTTGCCATGATGATAGTAAATAATATTTGACTATAGATATTTTTAAGACACTTTTATACAGCTTAAAGTGACATTTAAAGGCTTAATTAGGTTAATTAGGTTAACTAGGCAGTTTAAGGTTAGGCAAGTTATTGCATTCAATGGTTTGTTCTGTAGACTATCGAGAACAAAAATAGCTTAAAGGGGCTAATAATTTTGCCCCCAAATTTTTTTTTAAAAACATTTTAAATTGCTTTTATTCTAGCCGAAATAAAACAAATAAGACTTTCTCCAGAGAAATAAATATTATCAGACATACTGTGAAAATTTCCTTTTTCTGTTAAACATCATTTGTTAAATATGTAAAAAAGAAAAAAAAATCTAAGGGGGGCTAATTATTCTGACTTCAACTGTATATATATGCACAAAATGTTCTTGGATCTTCCTATAATTACAGTTGAACCACTGAAGTCACATGAAATGTTTTGACAATGTTTTGGATCCTTTTCTGGACTGTTGCTATATATTGAGGGGCAGAGAGCTCTCAGATTTTATTGTAAACTGTGCTCTTAAGATGAACAAAGGTCTCAGGAGATTCCTCCGGCATGAGGGTAAGTAATTAATAACACAGTTTTGGGGTGAACTAACCTTTTAAATTCATTTCCTTTTTACCACGTTGGACCCTCTTATCTCTCCCCCTGATATTTTGTGGCATAGATTCTAGGCCAAGGTGCTGGAAACTTTCCTCAGAGATATTAGTAATATACTGTAGTGATCTCACCATTATGTTCAAGAGATCAGTTTGAGATAATTTAGTCCTTGTGAAATCATTCAAAATAATTCAATACACACTTGCTTTACACTTGCTCAAATATAATCTTCTATTATCTTGTGTTTTACAGCCTCCCTGAGATCATTTCAGCAGAAAATTAAAAGAATGTAAGTCAAAAGTACATATGAAGAGTTTCGTTGCAAAACGAGATATACCCATTTTGAGAAATGTCGAGTATTTGACATTATTATTTAAGACATCAACAGTCAAGGTTATCCACAATTTTTGCACATTAAACTATTACTTGAGCTCAGTGAAGACCAGGAACACGATATTTTGAAATCCAGGATATTTTTTATTTTTATTTTATGTCCATAAATAGTTCATAAATAGGTCAAAAACCATACTAAAATGCAACATATTAATCTTAACATTGTCAAACATCTTAAATTGGTAAAAAAAATAACTATACATCATAAATATATGGAATAATATATACAAAGATTGATTAAAAATAACAAGATCCTGAGTTAGTTTTGGCCTGAACAAACACAACACAACATAACATAACTTTTTTTGTTTGTTTTATTTTTGTAAAACGCTATATATCCACCTTAGGCTATATTCTACTACAGTAATACAATGAAGAAAAGCGAATGAATCAATGTTTTGTTTGATAAGTAAGATTAAGTTAGTTAGATAAACGACTTGTAGCTTGTTACAGAAAGAGTGGAAGGCGGCTCCTTACACCGCTGCTGAAAAACAAACCTGTATGATCAGAGCGGGCGGAGCCGCGGTGTCACAGTGCATTGAGTCTGCGACACAAGCTCACCTCACCCTGTCATATTTAATGAATTATTACACTGTATAATGTATAATAATAATAATAATAACAGCTTATTTATTGGCTGTTGTAAAAAGCAAAATTGTTTATTTTTCTCTATAACAACCTGTGCCCTTTATGTTTCCTAATAATAAACCAACAACAAAAAAACGTGAGGTTTTAGGCTATAAATAATAGGTGCAACCTCATAAATAAATCTTCAGATAGGCTACTCAGCTACATGTAAGAAGTTATTTTAAAAAATAATTTTACAAAGGACACTTGGAAATGTAGCCTTGCAGACAGGTCTCTTGTGATGGGGAGGAGCGCAGGAGAAAAGGTGTCCCTGGCCTTCCTTTTGACATCAGCGAAGACTCGCTCTCTGCTGCATTTGTGTATTGTTGACAGACACAGGAGTATTTTATTCTGGTCCACTTTTGTAGCGTTTTTATACATTTTTGGAAAGTTGAAGGCTTCATCTTCTATCACTAAATCAATGAGCAAACTCGGAGCACTTCACCGGTAGTGACTCTCTTCCCAGGGGATGCTGAGCTCGCGCAGAATCCTGAACATTCTATATCCGTTATATGGCACTTTGTAAAGAAACTGGTCTGGTGGAAATCGCGTTTTGTGAAAAAATAATTTTTTTAGTTAAAAAAAATGTACATAAAAATGGCCTAAAATGTACATTCTTAAATGTTATTAATGGCAGCAATTCACACATATAGATCAAGGTACATCTGAACAGTGTTTTCCAATAATAAAATCCAAATGTCAAAAAAAGGATGTTTATCATGTTTTGCAACCAAACTCTTCATATATATATATATATACAGGCAAAACAAAAGTGGCTCCTGGTGATACACTGATGACTTAAGAAGTGATATTATTGGTGCAAGAAACAAAATATTATTTACAAAATTTTTTACATTGGCAAAGTCTCAAGTGCAAACATTTCGTCAATAATGGTGTAGTATGGATGCAAACTCACCCAGAAGGTAAACTGTTTATGAGAGAGGATTAGTGTGCTTAGTTGTTTAATAAAATGGTACTTACTTATTATGTACTTATACTGGATGCTGAGACCCATATAAAAAATTAGCAAACAAACAGCATCGCCTCATGTTTGAGTTAGCTCTCATTCATCCATAATAAATACAGAACTCAGGACCATTTGCAGAGGCTGTGGATTAATGAAAATAATGCCATATAAAATGTTCAGTTTCTTGCACAGACTAATTGTTCCACCTTAAATAACCTCAATGTATCATCAGGAGCCACAGGTGTACATTTTGTTTTGCATGTATATGTTTTTTTTTACACCCACAAAGAGCCAATACGACCAGTTTCAGTTAAAATACTATTTTAACGTTATACTGACTGGCCTGAGGAGGAGTAAATTAACACCAAATTACAATTTTTAGTGAACTATTCTGCAAACACTAAAAACAAATGCATGCTTATTAGCAAACGGTAACACTCATTGCCATAAATAACACAAATAATACTAAAAATGATCATTGCTGTCCATCTCATTTTTGTTTCTGTCTGCATGTTTAACCTCAGACAGGACATCTGCTTTACTTTCTGACAAATCAAAGAGGATGTCAACCACCTCCAGGCTGAACCTCCCCTCAGAAAAGACCTCCTTCACCCAGTTCTTCCTCAACCGAAGGTCATACAGCCACCGCCTCCAGATGTGCAAAAACACAAAGCATTATCTAAGAAGACAACCTCTCCACTGCCGACTAAACAACATAATTATAATGACTGTGCTGCCCTGGAGCTTCATGCTTCAGAGTATATGGAAAATAAAGCTGCGTT